AAAAAAAAAATACTTGTTCTTTTGTGTCTGGCTTATTTCACTTAGCATGATGTCTTCAGTGTTCATCCATGTCGTAGCATGTGTCAGAATTCCCTCCTCTTTAAGGCTGAATAATATACCATTGTATGTATATGCCACATTTGTTTATCCACTCATGTGCTCAAGGACATTTAGGATGAATGCACTTTTTTGGCTATCGTGAATGATGCTGCTATGAACACGGGAGTGCAAAACATACCTGTTCGATTCTCTGCTTTCAATTCTTTTGGGTTTATACCCAGAGGTGGAATTGCTGGATCATGTGGTAATTCTGTTTGATTTTTTTGAGGAACCGCCTTATTGTTTCCCACAGCAGGTGCACCACTTTACTTTCCCAGCAGCATGCATGAGGGTTTCAGTTTCTCCACATCCTCACCAACACTTGCTATTTTCTGGTTTGGGGTTTGTTCATTTGTTTTGACAATAACTATGCTACTGAGTGTGAAGTAGTATCTCATGCTTAAAAGCTAAGCTTTTTGTGTGTGTGGCATGGATATCACCCAAGTTTACAGTGTGTAGCAATATATTTGAGCATTCTGATTATCACAATATATAAAGCTACCAAATCCAAAGCAGTGTAAAAAGTTATAAATGAGCAGGATGCTGAAAAGTCATATAAATTCTTCTTATATATTTAAATTGTAGTGAATCTTTTTTTTTCTTTCTTTTGTAAAAGCACCTGTGGTCTTTTTTCTGTTTCTTTTTTTATTATTATTATTATAAGCATATTATTGTTACAAATCATTAAATAGGCTTTCTGAAAGTTTCATTTTATTGAGTTCTACCAAGCATCCTCCTAGAAGTAACTGAAAGGAAATATAACCAAAAATCACATAAATAACTCCCTGCGTTTCCATTTCTGTCCCTTCGTCTTCTATCCTACCCATTCTCTATCTTAACCTGAGAAACTCCTTCCAGTCAGATTTCTACCTTGTGGTGTCAGAGTTTGACACTGAGTCAAAAAAAACCACCTAATAATTTACTAGTAAAATGGAAGAAGACCACAGGAGACTCAAAGCCTTAATAGTAATCACTTTAACCATGTTTTCTTCCCTTCAACCCCATCCCTGCTTTCTTGTGTGTCTTAGCAAAGTATGCAAAATCAATGGAGTCATTCTTTTTGTTTGTTTGTTTTGGCAGCTGGCCAGTACAGGGATTGAACCCTGGACCTTGGTGTTATCACCACCACACTCTAAACACCTGAGCTGACTGACCAGCCCTACTTCTGTCCATGCATCTATTCAAAACTTACTAAACAGCATCTGCTTGGTCTAATGTTCACTGGATGTGAAGCAAGCTCTTGAATGGTAGTACAGAACTAGAGAGGAAATTTAAAAGTGTCCTTCTCTTTTCATGGTTTTTCCATAGCACTAGAATATTGTTTGAGTGTTAAATATGCCACATACTTCTAGCTTTTCACAACAAAGCATTAGATACCAGCTCTTCATTCATCCTAAGTATTCATTAACCCTTAGAGCATGCAGGTTCTCCAGGTAGACCCCATGAGGGCACAGAAAGATAAATCAGACATGCCACCTTTAAGCAGCTTATACCGTAGTGTTTCAGGTGGAGCACTGAGCTATCTCTAGGGAGAGGCGTGCCTCTTGTTCTAGAACCTTATGGTCTAAGATGGAAAGCAATGACAACATACACACAACAATTAGAGAACAATGAAAAAAGTACTTAGGTCCTGAACCTGTGTTGCTCAGACCAAAACTGCTATTATGGTTCACGGAAAGGAACCAGGGCAGTGAAGAACGGCTCTGAAAAATGAAGACTGGGTTAAACAGCCCCCCACACAGTGTAAGAGTGTACCAAATGCCTTTTACCTGATGGATTTGTGTTGGCTTATATAAGAACCCCCCGAGATGTTTAGTGGAAGTATTAAGGCTGTTTCTTACCCCCTCCTGTGCCCAACTGGTCTCCAGGTTTGCAAAAGAGGGAAGGAAGTGGCTCTAACATGGAGTGTCATCCCTCACTACCCCTAAGCAAAAGTCGAACCTGGTGAGGGAGGGCAGATTCCTGGCAGGAGAAATTTTATAGGATATGGACTCTAAGATACGTACAAGTGGAGAAAAGAGAGAAATCAGTGTGGTCCATGTATCAGTGGAAGTGAAATTCGAACTAGTATTTGCATATGAATCATAGGCAGAGAGGGAAAAAAAGAGGGAAAATATTGGAGTGGGAGGCATAATCAGAAACACTGTTATAATAAATAATACATACTGATTGCTTATGGTATGCATTGCCTCAAACGTTACAACAACCCTATGAAGTAGGTACTGATATTATCTTCATTTGAGAGTTCAGGAAGCTAAGGCTTACAGGAAGTAATTGCTTGCTCAAGGTCACACTATTAATAAGTAGAAGAGTCAGAAATTAAATTGTTTGATAGTAGATATAGTGCAGTCAATCACTACACTAAAGAGATGGAGATGAGAATGAACATGGCAATTGGAGGAGATCAGTACAATGAAACAGAGTTAGTTCACTTTGCAGCAAAGTCAGAAGTAAAACTGGGTAGGTAAGGCCGGGTCAAACTCTTTTCTTTTTTTTTATTGTAACAAAGTTGATTGTACATATCTGTGGGGTACAGAGTAGCAGATCAATACTTGTGTGCAATATGTGATGCTCACATCAGAATAATTATTATATTCAATAATATATACTGTCATTGCTATTCATGGCCCTTTACCCATTCCTCTCCCCCATCCCCTGCTTCTAGTAACCTCAGTTGTCCTTTTGAAAGTTCAATGGATTATTGTGAATGCTGTATCATTCTTTCTTTCATTTATATATTTATTATTTTAGTTCCCACTTATGAGTGAGAACATGCTGTATTTCTCTTTCTATGCCTGGCTTATTTCACTTGATATGATTTTCTCTAAGTTCATCCATGTTGCTGCAAATGGCAATATTTCATTCTTTTTTATAGCTGAGTAATATTCCATGTGTATATATACCACAGTTTCCTTATCCAGTCATCTGATGATGGACATTTGGGTTGTTTTCAACTCTTGGCTATTGTAAATAGAGCTGCAATGAACATGGGGGTGCAAGTATCTCTTTGGTTTCCTTATCCAGTCATCTGATGATGGACATTTGGGTTGGTTTCAACTCTTGGCTATTGTAAATAGAGCTGCAATGAACATGGGGGTGCAAGTATCTCTTT